ACTAACAAGCCAATACCATACTGTGTGACACACTAACAAGCCAATACCATACTGTGTGACACACTAACAAGCAAACTTTGTTAAATGTAAACTATTTTTTTGTCATTAAATCAGTAATCCTATCCTATGTCTAACAGCCAAGTTCTTCAGTGCATAATGTATGAAACTTTTCTGTAGCTCTAGTTTGAAAAAAAAAAGCTTTTAGGCATTATGTGAGCAATCAGTAATAGAGGCCAATAATTTACAGAAGTTTAAGAAGAGAACTGATGATTTCACAAAAATAAAGTTGTATACCTTTTCAAGTGTTAGTGTGAAAATACATCTTTGAAGGAACAAATAAGCCCTTGTTGTCTGTACGTTAACAACCCAATATTTTTGTATTCAAACTGCCAAAATCAAGACAAAGTTTGCAACAACATTCATTTTATGTTACTTTATTAAAAATACCTAATAATTTTGAGGTTTTACTGTCAAACGTTTTTGAAATGAGTTACTTTGCTGAACAAAACATGTATATAATTTTGATTCGTGTTTTCTTTTTTATATGATTATTCGACTTTAAATAAAGGTCTGTGACAACATTTCCTGTCAGTTTTGTTTTGATATTGTTAGACCTTAATTTTTGTTTAAAACTAATAATATGGGTTCATGAAAGATTAGGTTGTGTTACTGAGTTAAACATTTCCAATATTGAAACTTTGTACAGCTGCCCAAAACTTAGAGAATAGAAAGCTAACCAATCATTTATTATGTTAGAAGATATTAAACATGAAAAAAATCAGCAGTAAGTACATTTAATTCTGACACACCTTTCATCTTTTTCTTTTTTTGACATCTTTTTATCATCGGCCAGTTTCCTCATTATCTCTCGAGTTACAGCTTCCTCCCTCTTCAAAGCAACTCTATATAAATAATGAAAAACTACATTTTCAGATGAAACTCAATTAAAAAACGTTTCTTCTCGAGATACAAACTATGCAAGTTACGACTAATGACAGGTTAAACTCTGCAGTGATGTTTCAAAATTTTAACTTCAGTGGGCAAAGAATTTATACATACGCATCATAATCGTAGTATCTTATATTAACTTACTTGTGTTTCAGAACAAACTTCACATTTTTATATGCAAAAGCCACAAGCCAGGTGCTCACAAAGGTTACAACAACAAACAATATGGCTGACTGATAAGGATCCATCTGATGAATCCTCCAAAACAACCCTACAGAAAGTAAGAATTAAAAATACAAAATATAGAAACAACTATACGATGAACATAACACAGTAAAAATATCATGCAGTTGCACAATTCTAAATATTTTTCAAACCTACATATTGCAAACCATTTTAAATGAAAATACACAAACTTAGTTTCTCTGCATTTCACAAATAGGTCATTTTTTTTCAGACAGCTATTCTTATTATCCATTATCACCATAATATAAATTTTTACATATCAAAAAAGCTCTAAAATATTTCATGTTCCACGAATAGTTTTTTTCAATTTGGAATTTCAGCAGAATTATACAGAGGTAATGATTCATTTGGTTTTAATACGGTTATGATATGTTTTGCTGAAACTTGACTGTATCATGATACATTCTGAAAAACTGAGTGACATATGACATTTCTTGAAATGTGTAAGCTAACATAAATAACCCAAGCTATCTTTGGGTTATGAATTAACAGATTTTGGGGATCACTACTCCAGAGGGCAGGAGTTATTTAAACAAGGCACCATAAACAAGATGCAATGACACTATACAACAAATATGGTGGATGATTACAAACTAGTTAATATCCCAGCTGTGGTAAGCCTTTCTTTTTAAATCATGTCAAAATGAACAAACAGTACATTTTTACATATTCTTGATATGTTACTTTACTGTAAGGTACAGTTATTTTAAATACATTTAATCTTCAAAATATATCAGCATTCTTTGTATAAAATGGGGAAAATAAATACAGTAATGTGTATAACATCAAGTCTATTCATCATGTCATCAGATCAGTGGCGATACACAACTTTAGCATTTTATCAGTATTTAATATACTTTTACTACAAATTACAGTTAAATAAGACCGACATAAAAAACACAAAAACTTGCAGATATACATAGCTTTCACTTCTAGAACATTGATTGATGGACAGACACAAGTGAAAACATGACTGAAAAATATTCGAGGTCATGGAAAGAAGGTTCTTTGGTGTTGTAACATACAATTTCATTAATATGAAGACAACCTGGCAGTTACTTTAATAAAAGAAATACCATCATCAACATCTTATGGTATTTTATACTTATTAAGAATCTTAGACATGTTTTACAATAACTTTCAATTGCTTTTTGATTGTAAAGTATGTCTTCAGCTTCTTATCTTCTGAATGTATGGTTCATTGACATTCAGATGATAAAGTATCAAGTGCTTTTTCAAAACAATCAATGAAAATAATCTGGAGTCTACCATGAGTTTTAGAAGTCTGATCCAAACAAAGCCTGCCTTCCGGGCTCTAGTAATCTCTGAATAACCAATGCTTGCCATAAACACTGATTGATACCCAAATCCTGGTTAATGACATCTTCTATGTGAGAGATAAGAAGATGTTTGAGCTTTATGAACCTCTCATTAAATTATCACCATCTGTGAATTAGATATTTAAAGAATATTATTATATGTCTTCAGCAACAATGAGAAGCACACAAATGACAGCCACGTTAACTACTTCTACAATCACCTAGTCTGAAGAAAAACATATTTTGAATGGTCTTAAGAACAGTAAGGAAGCTGGAACTTAGCAAGTATATGGCTTCAAACATTCTGGATTTTACATTCACAGGAATGTCTTTCTTCCTGGAACTTGATGTCAATGAGCATCCCACTTATTAAAAATAACAAAAACTATATATGATGTTGATGAAGAAGTACTGTCCAGTTTGGTTTAACACAGAAGAAGCAAAAGCTGTGGGCAAATAACTGGAAGGTAGGATTGATGACTCAACTTGTCAACTCTAATATGGTGAAAATGTACTCGTGAGTTTTCTCCAATAAGTAAAATAGCTCTGGGTAATCCTTCAGCACTCTAAAACAAGGATAACACACTCATTCTTACAGACTTTACAGCACAAAATCTACAGATCTTGTTATGAACTGAGTTTGAATCTTCTAAAAGATAAGACTGACAAATTCACTTAAAGGGAGATGAGGAGCTTGGGGAGACAGATTATGAAAGTTACAAATAACATCTTTTAATAAACTGACCACATCTGTTTTGATGGATGTCTATAACTTGTAGGTCATAATTATAGAGTCAGGAAACTACAAAATCAGTTATGTAGTAGTCTACACCATGTTAAGTCCAGAGCGCTAACAGTAACATGCAATATTATGTATGACTAGTTACATGCATGCTGACAGCACTCTTCTGAAGACAGACATATACTAATATACAGTATTGTTTGTTAACGGTGAGTGTGTGTTTTAATTAAGGTGTTGAGGATGGCCGTTTATGTTATCCTTACGATGCTTTTATATATTCTTACTAGTGTTACATTAATGATTAAAAACTGCCGTGTCAAACAATTTTTGGCATGTGTGCATTAACGTGTTCGATGAATATTCGTAAAATACGTGCACATTTGGCCAGCAGAGGAAATCAAACGGTTTGGCGTCAATATTACACGTAAAGGCGAATTAATTGCATATAGGCGGCTCCTTTGATGACACCGTCCGCAGAATAGTCGTCAGCGTTTTACCATGTGCTGTTACGCTGTAACGCTAACAGTAAAAATAACTAATAGTAATATCACACTATGAATATTAACAATATCAAAACCTTGAAAATTCAGTACATATCATTTACTCACAAATTGGAATGGCGGACACAATAAATGCATTGCCATAAAACAAAGCCGAAGACTTAGTAGACACATTTCTACTAAAGTCTTGCAATAAAAGTTCCTCTTCCTTAGTCAAAGACTTCTTACTTCCAGCCCCAGCCATCTTTCAGCCGAAAAGAGCACGTGATTGCTGACGTTGCAATGAGTAGGAAAGAAAAGATAGACTCTGGTAGAGTGGAACTAGGAATCTGAGATGAAACAGACAGTCAAATTAATAGCTACGAGGGAAAGAAAGATTATTTATCATAACAACATAATATTTTTAAAATGTAGTATCTTAGACAGTACACGCTAAACAAATATTACAGAAATATTTATATAAATAATATCTGCAATAGGATCTACGTTCAAGGAGTTTTGGATGCTATATATACTTTTGCAACTTATGCTATTGGGTTTTGATCACCACTAACAATTTAATGTCGTAATTTACTTGAGAAAGCTGCGGGTCGTATTGATAAAGTTATGATCGAAAGGTTAAAAAGATAATCCTAAAACACATAGAAAGTTATGAAAGACTTGGCGTCAAGTTTTCTAGTAAATTTGAAGGTAGCTTATAAATTTGAAATAGTTCTGAAGATTGTAGAATTGTTTCAAGATAGTGGTTTCTAGCATGTGAAGTTTGTTTTCGTTTCGGTTATGAACTGGTTCTATAAGTTTATTCTGTATGTTAATATAGCGCAGTTAGCGTAATTTGTATACGTTGCTTTCAAGTTCTACAGTGTGCAAGCTTCTAAGAAACTTTAAGTGGATAAAATGAATTAATTTGTTACTGTTTACACGGGCTGGACTTTGAATTATTGTCACCAAATAATTTTAAATAACCTGCCAACGAATGAAAAAGTTATAACATTGCTGTCAGAAGTGAGATAAAATATAACTCATTATACTTGAAACAGAACCATGAAGGTCAAGTTTTGAGATTCAATAATTACTTGAGATCATGAAATTATTAATTAAGACAAGATCGAAAAGAACAAGACAGAAAGTTATAGGAACTAGACCGAAAATTTAAAGAAGAACACGATAGAAAATTAACAGCAGACAAGGAAGAATGGGACAGAAAATAAGAATAGTGTGATAACAATTTATGGGAGGAGTTAAAAGAAAAAGAATTTTTAAAAAAGTGTTCTGTCTCTGATCGTTTGTTAATTTCCGGTATAGATTCTTTCCGAGGAACTTCGGCGATACAAGTCCTTTCTTAATTAAAACAAGTCTATTCTTTCTCGATACAACTTTGTAATACACAGAATTTCCACAGTCACTTTAAACTTAACAACCTTTATAACACACGCTATAAATGACAGTGCTTCTCACACTTTACTTACGGTGCCTACTGTTCGCTTGACTCAATTATCTATCTATACCTATCTCTTCAGTCTATCTGCATATCTATCCGCCTATGTCGCTGGCTTTATTTGCCAGGCTTATATACTAAAAAAGAGGGCGTCTAGCAAACACTGGGAAATTCACGGGGTTCCTCGATAATTCTAGAAACTCCAGCGCGCATGCTCCCAGCGTCACGCGACTTCCGCTGTCGTTACATAACTAAGCGCACAGTTACACAGTCCAAATTAAAGAGTGGGCAGACTAACACAAAAAACTAACATAAAATGAAAGGAAAACAGAATTAAAACTCTTTACCAAACTGTAATTTTCAGCTTTATCTACAAAGCTCATGTAAGTGCAGTTAAAGACCTTAACTGGCGCAAGTGAAGAAAACAACAACAT